TTTTACGAAATGGAAAAATTTTTAATTTACGAGTTTGAGAAAGCGTGGGGTAGGATCCGTGGGGTTGAATCCGTGGGGTGGGATCCGTGGGGTGAGATCCGTGGGGTGGGAAGAGCGTGAAAACGGAAACCCACCCACCCCGCGGGGTGGGTGGGAAAAAACCTAAGACGTGTGACAAATAATAAACTTTTCATATGTTGTATCTCGCGGTCAGGACCGATGACTTATGGGTCGGTATAGGAAAATAGTTTTCGTTTTATATTGTCTTATTTTCACACACGCACACTTTCCTTTCGCGGTTTTACAACCCCCCACCTTCCCACTCCCACCCCCACCCCCCAAAACCATTTTCCAGTCTATAAATCCTTTTAGCGAACATTTTAAAATTTGACGGGATTCCCATATACATAAATATATCGTCACATTGCCTTTTTTTTTAAACCGTTTTCTGTTTTCACCGCCATTTTCACACACCACACCTTCTCTCGTTCCACGTTTTTTTTTTTAAACAGTGACAATCGCCGCTTCTGCCACTGCCACTGCTGCCACTGCTGCCGCAAAACTTTATTTTCACATAACACACTTTTTAAAATTGAATTTTTTTGTTTATCCTCTTTACGATTTTCCTTCGATTTTTTTATTTCATTTCTTTCTTCGAAATTTTTTTTTTCCATTGAATAAAAAACCTAAGAGCCAAAGGAAAAAAGAAAAAGGAAAAAATTTTCCATCGACTAAACAATTAAAAAATATGGTTTCAAAACCTTTTTCTTTCCTCTCCTGTTTATTATTAATTTTTCGGATTCTTGCAGTAAATCAACACATTTCACGTAAAAACCAATGTTATGAAATATATATTATATATACATTTTACACCCTTTAAATTTTCAACCCCTAAATTTTGTATTTTATCCTTTAAACACACACGCGCGCGCCCGCACTCCCGCACGCATCCCACACACATCCAAATTTAATTTTTTTTATTTTTTTTTATTTTTCGTAAACTTATCCTCACGATTCTCTCTCTCTCTCTCTCTCATATTCGATTGTTTGCGACAGGGTGGTAACAAACCAGGGGTTGAAAAAAAAACAACAACCGATTTATTATTATTTATTTTTGATTAAATCATCGGAGTAAAACCTTCCTTATCGAACCTTTTCTTTTTTTTCGTACGATAAGAATAAAAATGAAATTTACGAAAGGATCAATCAATCAAATTATTATTAGTTAAAAAAAAAAAAATTTTTTGTTGTTTCTACCTCCCCCAACTTCCATCACCCCCCTCTATTTCGACGTCAATTTAATAAATTTTTTATCGTGACGTGTTTATTACGTAATCGCGTTTTGATAAATAATAATAATAATTTTTTTTTTTTAAATGATTTGATTTGCGATAAAACGATTGATCGATGAATTTATTACGTGGTGATTGATGGTGGTGGTGGTGGTAAAAGTGGAAGCAGAACGATCGGTGACGTAAAACAAAATATTTATTGTGTATTTACATTTTCAAAGAGTTTTGTTTGTTTCGTTTCAAAAATTGTATCTAATGCCACGTTCGAGAATTTTTTTCGAGTTTAAAAAAAACGTTAAAAAGTGATTCTTTTTTTCCTTTTCTCCTCCCTTTCCCTCTTTCTGCCCCTCTCTCTCCCCCTTTCTCCCATTTTTTTTTTTTTTTGAATACTTTTGTTAAGTAAACCACAGATTTATGCCATTTTAATGTTTTTGAAAACTAAATTTTCTTCTGCTTCGAACTTTTTTTTTCTTCTTCTCCTTATTCTTTTTTTTTTTTTTAAAAGCTTCGCCTAAGGCTTCACTTTTTTTTTTTTTTTAAATGATAATAATTTTTTTACGTAAAATAATTTTTTTTTTTTTTACTTTCGTTTCGTAATTGCTTTTTTTCTCTCTCTTCTCCTATTCTTCTTATAGTTCTATATTTAAATATAGCTTTTATAGCAGAAGATAATTATAGTGTAATCAATAACTTTTTAAAAAAAAAAAAAATTTTTCATTCGTTCGTAAATGTTTGCTCCCTAAACGTGAATCGAGTTTTCATTTAAACTCGAATTATTATTATTATTATTATTATTATTATTTGTACAAAATGGCGTACGGAGTGATTTTTTTTCGCGATGATAATAATAATAATTTACCGAAATGATAAAAAGAAAAATCAATTTTTAAATAAATAAAACGAGATTAAAAAGGGTTGTTAAATTGTTAGATTTTTTGTTTTTATTCTAGAAAAAAATTCGATCGGTCATTTAATGATAATAATAATAAATAAATAAATAAGTCAAACATGAGTGGAATGAAAAGAATAAGAAAAATAGGAAAAAAAAAATGGTAGAAGAAAAAAAAATATATATATATATATATTTTTAGATTTTAACGGTATTGTTTAATTGCCCAAATCTATCTTGACCTGTCAGATTTTCGTCCATACGATCCATCTTATTTTAGTTTATGACGTCACTAACAGAAATTGTTGTTGTTTTTCTTTTTTTTTCAACGTGTAAAATTAAACTTTTTTTTTTTTGTTTTTCTTTCTAGAATATTCGATAGTGAAAATGAAAACAAAAAAGTAGAATTAAAAAATCGAATTTTTTTTTCTTGTAAATTTTCCAAAAAAAAATAAAAATAAAATAAAAATTTTTTTTTTTTTACGTTTTTAAAATCGGTTAGAGAGAGAGAGAGAGAGAGAGAAAGAGAGAGGAAAAAAACCGTTTCCGGCTTTATGATCTCATTTCCTGTTTTAGTAGTAATCTTTAATATATTGTTTCAATTAAAAATTTTCTTTTTTTTTATTTTACGCTTTCGGTTTTTTTTTAAAAAAAAAATACCCTGTAGGGGTTGAATTATTTTATTTTTTTTTACAAAAAAAAGGAAAAAAGGAGGAAAAAAAAAGGAAAGAAAATTTTTTTTTTTGTTTTCCCTTGTTTTCATCGCCTCGTGTGTGCGTGCGTGCGTGTGTGTTTGTAAATGTAAAAATAAAAACAAAAAAAAAATTTATTATTAATAATAAATTTAAAAATTTCACTTCCCCCTTCTCCTCCCTACCCTCCCCCACTCCACCTCACCCCATCGTACCCCCACGAATCTTTATCACAGTAATAATAATAATAAAATAGATCTCCTGACACGTAACGTAATATTTAAAAATTTTTTTTTTTGTCGAAACGTAATCATTTTTCATTAGCCATCCGCCGCCGACTCGACAATAACGTGTTAAAAAAAAAAAAAGAAAAACGACAATAAATTTCAAAGATGGCAATAATAATAATAATAATATAAAAAGGAATGATATAAAGAGGGAGAGAAAGGGAAAGAGAGGAGGGAAAAATATATACATATTATATAAGAAACAAAAAATAAATAAAAAATAAAAAGCTAAAGAATTTTTCAAGCCTCGAGAAATTAAATCTTTTGAAGTTTGTATGTCATACGAAAAATGATTTTTCCAAATTCTAAAGAGAGAGAGAGAGAAAGAAAGAAAGAAATATTTTCATTAAAAAGGAAAGTAAAATAAGAAAGAAAGAATTCACTCACTCACTCACTCATTCGAGGGTGCGCGGAAAATCTCAGGTAAAGCAAGTGTGGGGAGGGGGGAGAGGAAGGTTAAAATAAAAAATAAATAAATAAAAATAAATAAAATGAAAAAAGTAAAACGTAAGAAAATCGAAAATGTCATTTTAATAATAAAACGATCGTTAAATAACTTATATTTCCCCTGACACTCCATATATAAATATATATATACATATATATATATATATATATATATATATATATATATATATAATATGAATAAATAAAATCCGCGTTAAAATACGTAAATGTAAAAAAACCTGTGATTTTTTTATTAATCATACGTAAGATATTATTTATTTATAATTCCATTGATTTTATTTTTAAAAAAAATTTTCCCTCTTTTTTGAATATAACGCTCATTATTATTATTATTTTTACGAAATATATATTTAATATTATATATTTTATATATAAATAAATGATAAATCGAATGACACGACGACGATGATAATGATGATGATGATGATGATGACTTTTCATTAAAATTTTTCTTTTTTTTTTTTGTTCCAGAATAAATCCTTTTTTTTTTTCTTTTCTTTTACTTTCCCTCCTTCCACCTCTCTCTCTTTTTTATTTTACTGGGAAGAGAAAGAGAGAGAGAGAAAGGGAATTATAAATTAAAATTTTTTTTTTTTTTTTTAAAGGGTTTTATGCCGGTTTTTATCACGATTATTATTATTATTTTTTTTTTTTTTACTTTTCTTTTCTTTTCTTTATTTAATAATCATAGAAATAAAATTTAATTAGTCTCAAAAAAAAACAAATTCGACGATGACGTCATTAATTATTATCATTACCCACGAGTAATAGTAGAATTCGTATGTTATTAATGAAAAAAAAAAAAAAAAACGTGAACGAAATTAAAAAAAAAAAATAATTGATGTTGAAAACGAATTTTTTTTTTTCCCCG